GAATCACTAATTGAAAGGGGCATGTTCAAAATAATAGCAGTGTGGAGTTCTATTAGTGAGGTCATTCATTCTTTGAAAAACAGGTGGCAATTATTGCCCTTATTTAAGGAAGGAAGGCAGCAAATGTTGTATATGCTGGTTACAGTGCATTTATTTCTGAAATTCTGAAGAAAATGGGTCGATCCAGACATTGTTCAGAAGAACAGCGTACCTTGATTAAAAAGTAGGTTGGAGAGGGGAAAACATATAAAGAAGTGCAGAAAATGATAGGCTGCTCAGCTAAAATGATTGCAAATGCTTTAAAATGGCAACCAAAACCTGAAAGACGCGGAAGAAAGCGAAAAACTACCATTTGAATGGATAGAAGAATAGCCAAAATGGCAAGGACTCAGCCAACAATCAGCTCCAGGAAGATCAGAGAAGGTCTAAAGTTACCTGTGAGTACTGTTACAATTAGAAGACGCCTATGTGAAGCCAAGCTATCTGCAAGAAGCCCCCGCAAAGTCCCACTGTTGAAAAAAAAGACATGTGCTGAAGAGGTTACAATTTGTCAAAGAGCACATTGACTGGCCTAAAGAGAAATGGCGCAACATTTTGTGGACTGATGAAAGTAAGATTGTTCTTTTTGGGTCTAGTGGGTGGAGACAGTTTGTCAGACGACCCCCAAACACTGAATTCAAGCCACAGTACACTGTGAAGACAGTGAAGCATGGTTGCGCAAGCATCATGATATGGGGATGTTTCTCATACTACGGTGTTGGGCCTATTTATTGCATACCAGGGATCATGGATCAGTTTGAATACATCAGAATACTTGAAGAGGTCATGCTGCCTTATGCTGAAGAGGAAATGCCCTTGAAATGGGTGTTCCAACAAGACAACGACCCCAACTGTGACATTACCAAGATCTGAACGTCCCTCCAAAATTGCTGAAAAGATGAGAAGAAAACAGGTCTGGGAGGCTGCCAAGAGGCCTACAGTAACATTAAAGGAGCTGCAGGAATATCTGGCAAGTACTGGCTGTGTGGTACATCTCCCAAATTCTTCATATGTCTGGGATTATGGGGTAAAGTGGCAAGACGGAAGTCTTTTCTTACGAAGAAAAACATCCAAGTCCAGCTAAATTTCGCAAACATACATCCGAAGTCTCCCAAAAGCATGTGAGGAAATGTGTTATGGTCTGATGAAAACAAGGTTGAACTTTTTGGCCATAATTCCAAAAGATATGTTTTGGCGCAAAAAAACAACATTGCACATCACCAAAGGAACACCAGTGAAGCATGGTGGTGGCAGCACAATTCTTTGGGGCTGTTTTTCTTCAGCTGGAATTGGGGCTTAAGTCAACGTAGAGGGAATTATGAACAGTTCCAAATACCAGTCAATATTGACACAAAACCACAGGCTTCTGCTAGAAAGCTGAACATGAAGAGGAACTTCATCTTTCAGCATGACAACGACCCAAAGCATACATCCAAATCAATAAAGGAATGACTTAACCAGAAGAAGATTAAAGTGTTTTTGAAATGGCCCAGCCAGAGCCCAGACCTGAATCCGATGGAAAATCTGTGGGGTGATCTGAAGAGGGCTGTGCACAGGAGATGCCCTCACAATCTGACAGATTTGGAGTGTTTTTGCAAGGAAGAGTGGGCAAATATTGCCAAGTGAAGATGTGCCATGCTGATAGACTCATACCCAAAAAGACTGAGTGCTGTAATAAAATCAAAAGGTGCTTCACCAAAGTATTAGTTTAAGGGTGTGCATACTTATGCAACCATATTATTTCAGTTTTTAATTTTTACTTCCTGCCACCTAAAATAATTCAGCTTGCTGTTCAACTGAGTTGTACAGTTTATGGGTTATATATATATATATATATATATATATATATATATATATATATATATATATATATAGTTTTAATATAAGAACTCTTTATTAATGAATGCCAACAATATCACATTTCAAAATAAAGCATGTATATGGCATGGGGCATAATGTTAGGACCGTGGGCAGACTACAAAAGAGAAACATTATCTAACATCTAACATCTAACATCTAGGTAATTGCTTCTACAGCTGGTTGAAAACATATTTTTCAATCCCTATAGTTGCTTTTTACTATGTATCTGGTTGCCAACATGGATGCTATAGTATTATTGAGTGCTTTGCTATTTGTAGTAGAGTGGTTGTATAGGCTCAAGGTTTTTTACCTTCATGCATTCTATACGCTGAGGTAAAAAACCTTCTGTGTGTGACAGTGCCTCCAGCTTCCTCATTACTTACCCGAGCCCCATCCCGATCCATCGATGTGAAAAACAGCCTCTGCCTCCTCATTGGCTGAGACAGCAAGCGGGAGCCACTGGCTCCTGCTGCTGTCCATCACAGCCAGTCAGCCAATGAGGAGCAAGAGGGGCGGGCCAAGCAGCGGCTCCATATGTGAATGGACACACAGAGCAGTGGCTTGGGAACAGACTGTTCGGGTGCCCCCATAGCAATCTGCTTGCTATGGGGGCACCCGACAGAAAGGAGAAGCCACGAGAGCCTGAGGGGGACCTGAGAAGAGGAAGATCCAGACTGCTCTGTGCAAAACCACTGCACACAACAGGTAAGTATAAGATGTTTGTTATTTTACAAAAAATTAAAAATGAACCTTTAGAATTGCTTTAACTATTGCAGGATACAAATTACTCATCGTTTGTTTACTGTTTTTTAATTGCTGCTTGTGGAGATTTGCTCAGACCTCAGTTGTCCATAGATTGCAACAAAACTTCACTTTAATGAATAAATAATAGATACAGGGAAAGACACCTTTGGGGTTCTATTCTAAACTAATGGTGAAAAGTGTTACATTAGCGCTTGAAAACATACTACATCCTTTTTAGACAGCAAAGTTACATAGGGGTTTATTTACTAAAGCTGGAGAGTGCAAAATCAGACTCACTTCTGCATAGAAACCAATCAGCTTCCAGGTTTCATTGCCAAAGCTTCATTGAACAAGCTGAGGTTAGAAGCTGATTGGTTTCTATGCAGAAGGGAGTCTGATTTTGGACTTTCCAGCTTTAGTAAATAAACCCCATAGTGTCAACTTCAATGCAAGAACTGAAAATCTAGTGTCAAAGGCTTCTTTATGTAATTAAACATTATTTCCACCAACTGAAAGTGTAGAGGTATTTAATTTTGTTTTGTTCTATGATAATAAAGCAGGTATTGCAAATGTCATGTACATACACACAGAGTCTGGTATTATTATTAGCCACGCCGAGGGCCCCTAGAATTTCCAGCACATCATCACAAGATGTTGGACATCAACCTCACAATTCCTGAACTTTACTATAGGACCCTGTTTGTGAGGGACACGGCATCAGACTCCAGCCCTTCTCACCAACTTGTGACCGAAAGACCAGCCAATCTAAGACCGCGCTGCCACTTGCGTAACAATGCCACTCTAAGCTGCGCCATGCAGAAAGATTTTCCAGCTCACTGGACCACAATCTGTGTGCCAGCAGCCTGAGAGCGATTGTTACTGGGTCAGGTTAATTATGCAATTAACCCTTCACACTGCCACTACCACCTTTTTACAGAGAAGGAGGAAACTCACAAATCTTAGCAGTAACACTATGATGTTTGAATAAGCGTCTGTATACACACTGCCACCGCAGACAGATGTATGCAGAGGGTTAAAACACACGGTAGCACTCTTCAGAGACAGGGATTCTTGTAGTTTGTATTAAAAGCGTTAGAGACAGTTTCAAGACTTTTCAGAAAATAGGATTTATTACTAAAAAGGTCAAAATAGTGCAATTAAAATATTTACAGAAAAGATGTAACAAATATGTATATATATATAAATAGAGAGAGCAATAACACAACAGAGAGATAAAAGAAAGAAGTTTCAGAAGGTAGGATACTTGCAGAAGACCTTGGTTTATGCAGACTCCAAGTGTCCGAATAAAAGGTTATCTTTTCTCCCAAAGATGGTTCCTGGTGTTAAAAGGGAGAATCTCTTCTTTTTTCTCTACAGGCATGACAGCCTTTTTTCTAGTGTCCCAGCAGGGGGTGTCTACTGAAGCCAGAGGCCAATCGCCTCATTTGGGGAGGAGTGTTAGGCGGGGGACCCAGGCTATGACCAAATCCCTCCCAAGTTTATACCATGGTCAATAACCTTCAATATGTACATGTAGCATCCTAGCCACTGGTAGATTAATATGCAGAATCATATTCTGAACGTCCAGACACCAAATATGGCATATCTTGTCATTCCAGATAAAAATATATTTTTTTCTACTCTCTTGTAGACGCCACATAGGGATGTAAGGTGTCAGATGACTTGTATCAAAATGACCTATCTGAATATATGCTTTATTTTAATGTGTCCTGTTCCTGTTGAAGTTTATGAATTTGTATGAAAAAGTGATTCAAGTGGGATGTACGTTTTATGGCCACTCTGAGATAATGTTTCATGTCAAGTGAACGACTGAGTTATAGTTTTACGATGAAAGTGTTTGTCAGACCCTCTGGCACCAGGCTTAATTGGGGTTACAACCATGAAGCATATCCAGCTGTGCCTTATGCACTTGTGACCCCAGTGCACACACATATCACATTCCATTCAAAGGGGAGGGGGGACTTGATGGAGTGAGAATGACAGTTGCAGAGTATGATACAAATATGATTGTCAGCATTCGTATCTATACAAACAATTAACACACTGTTCTATAAGTAACTACAGCCTGTTTATTAATTACAATATTTAGTCTGCCAGTTTTTGCAAATATTAAAATGTACCCCATGAGAGTTTTATTTAGCTCCACATAGAGTTCAGAAGGGTTAGAATATCTATGAGGTTCTTATTGATTTGTGGGTTCCAACTTGGACAGTTTCCCTTGACATCCCATCCCAGAGGATGGGTTGATATCTCACCAAAATCAGGGCAAATTTCATCTTTATTAAAATGGTGTCCTCAGTGGAAAATTTCCCTTTACTATTTGTGTGGTTGGCAACTATAACATTTTTTTATTCTAATTTATTTTTTTTTTATTGGGGATTTTTACAGGTATCTGCACATTTGGAATTTTACACGATGCTATTTGACACACAAGATTGCAACAACACAGAGTTTGAGTAAAGTGGGTAAAGAGTTCTTATGCTTTAGCTAGTGCATCACTATAAACATGTAGAGTAAAATAAAAGCAACTAAAGTTGATGGTGATATGGAAAAGTTCTCTCCTTCCTATCACATAGATATTGAAGCATTGTATAAGAATTATGCCATGGGGTACATACAAACATTTTTGATTTGTATTCATTTTCTGTTTCAGTGACCCCCAACAAGGATACAGGCATTAACATTTGGCAGAGGTTTCTAAACCTTTCCCACTCTTTTGGCTGCAGATCCATTTTAACATAACCACTTGGCATGGCGCCTCCAGGCCCTTTAAGGGGGTTCAGATGCTGGGAGATGGGGTGGGGTTCAAAATCATGTGTTCACCGTGATTGGCTGTCACAGCAGTCGCATGAATCAGAAAGCTCCCAATTGCTAATTGCCATTAGCTGCTGGTAACTGTGCCGGGAGCGTGCTCTCGGCACAGCTGTGTTTGCATTCTGGTATGCATATATGTGGCCTCTCATCGTGAAGGCCCACCCACCAGGAGGCCGCATATATGCGTACTGTCAGCGCCAACGAGTTAAACTGCAAGAACATTTTACAAAATGTACAATTTCTAATGCAAAATCAAGTACATTCACTTTATTAGGTAACTAATAACAGCAACTAACCATCAGTTATGGTGAAGGGATAGGATATTTTAAGCAAGCACATATTTTGAGTTATTATTGCAGCTTATTGGTCATTAGATGCAGGGCATATTGGCTATTACAATTATCTGGCATTACTGCACTGTATAACATCTCTTGAGATAAGATGTAAAGCAACAAACCAGGGTGGATTTGATTTAAATCAAACTGATTTAAATCACGATTTAAATCACTAGTCAGTAAGGCTTGATTTAAATCCTAGTTTTCTACATAAAAAATAATTCTTGCTGGTATAACTTTAATATGCAAGTAGATGAAGATTTTTAGAATAACAACTTTTCATATTAGTTTTTTTATCCCCAGTTTAATAGGTTAAATATTCATATTTGGACAACTTTTCTGTTGTACTTAGGAAGAAGAAAAATAATCATTACCTTAATAATAACAATTTAAATAGATTTATTCAACTGAAACAATAACATTCCAGCATATGTGATTTGCTTAAACAAACATCCATGTTTGTTAACTAATTTGGCTAAACAAAATATATATATTTTAAGAAACTTAGACTGTCAGCCCCTTCCGCCTCACACTTAGTTTCACTTTCTTCTTGTGCAGATCTATTCCACTCCAAACAATCAGAAAAATATTGTTTCTATTCTATTCACTGAACTTCTTGAAACTTAGCACTGAAGGGGTTGATTCTGTATTCATAGGTTTGTAGAAGTTAGGATGAAGGTCTTTTTCTTAACTCTGTTCATGTTATAACATTTTTGCTGTGAAGAAGAGGCATGTGATCTCCGCTGAGTCAAATTCAGTTTTGAGAACTGCAAAAGTAAACCAAGCATCTGTGATAGTATCTTGTAGGCAGAGAAACTGCCCAATAATCTTACAAATACCTCTGGAAGAGCATGACATTGTGAATGGATTCATGGAATTTATTTACCAAACAAATTAAACATATACAGCCTTATTCTACATAATTAAAGAACTAATATTTCATGATGGAATAACCTTTGGATGGTAATATATTTCCCACAAAAAGCATTTTATTAAAAAAAAATCAGATGTAAATCAAAAAAATTTGATTTAAATAAAAAAAAAATCGATTTTTTTGATTTTTTTTAACAAAATCATTGATTTTTATCCACCCTGCAACAAATTAAAAAAACACCTGTGAGATTCCAAAGAGGTACATCACTGTAACATACATGTTACTATTAGTTAAAAATTATTGACCATTTTATTAGTATAAGAACAATAAAAACATATTTTCATGAGAAATATAAAGCTGATTTCATACAGTCGCAGATTTTTCAAAGTGTAACCTAGTACATCACTTAGTCAAATGACATTATACAGTACACACGGTTGATTTACTAAAACGGGAGAGTGCAAATTCTGGTGCAGTTGTGCATGGTGGCCAACCAGCTTCTAAAGTCAGCTGGTTCAATTAAGCTTTGACAATAAAACCTGGAAACTGATTGGTTTCTATGCAGAGCTGCGCCAGATTTTGCACTCTCCAGTTTTAGTAAATCATCCCCAGTGGGGTATTATTTATTATTCTATCAGGTTGGTTACAGAAATGTTTTTTTATAATTCAACCGATTAGAGCAAAAATTGACACTTTCATTTTGAGATTTTTAATTCATTTCACCGGGACAGATGTTATTGGCAAGGTATCTACAAAATATGTGCATTAGAAATGCAATCAGAAATCCTTTTTTTATTCCAGTTGACATTTGTGTATATAACTATATACCTTGTCAATAACATCTGTCCTGATGACGTGAATTAAAATTCTTGAAACGTGTTAAGAAGTGTCAATTTTTGCTCCATCTGGTGAAATTATGTGAGAATATCTCTCTTACCAACCCGGTGGAGATAATATTGCATAATACCATGACTTATGCAGGCCATAGATGGGTCGAAAATCGGCCGCTTTTTGGCCGAAAATAAAATCGGCCGATTTTCGGATCGTTAGTGGGCTATTTGGTCGGCCGTTTTTCGGGATTTTGGCCGTTTTTTTTTTCGGTAAAGTTGGAAAAAAATCGTCCGACTTTGCCGATCGGCCGATTTTCGCGGCAATTAGTGGGCAAATCGGCCGATTTTTTACCGATAAAAAAATCTGCGCATGAGCAGTGACCTGCAAGAGGAAGACAAAAAGAAGAAAAAGAAGAAGAGGATGAAGAAGAAGAAGAGGAAGAAGAAGAGGATGAGGATGAAGAAGAAGAAGAAGAGGATGAGGATGAAGAAGAATAAGAAGAGGATGAGGATGAAAAAGAAGAGGATGAGGATGAAGAAGAAGAAGAAGAAGAGGATGAGGATGAAGAAGAAGGAGAAGAAGAAGAGGATGAGGAGGATGAGGATGAAGAAGAAGAGGATGAGGATGAGGAAGAAGAAGAAGAGAGATGAGGATGAGGAAGAAGAGATGATGATGAGGAAGAAGAGGATGAGGATGAAGAAGAAGAGGGTGAGGATGAAGAAGAAGAAGAAGAGGATGAAGAAGAAGAAGAGGATGAGGATGAAGAAGAGGATGAAGAAGAAGAAGATGAGGATGAAGAAGAGGAAGAAGAGGATGAGGATGAAGAAGAAGACGAAGAAGAAGAGGATGAGGATGAAGAAGAAGAGGATGAGGATGATGAAGAAGAAGAGGATGAGGATGAAAGAAGAAGAAGAAGAAGAGGATGAGGAAGAAGACGAGGATGAAGAAGAAGATGAGGATGAAGAAGAAGAAGATGAGGAAGAAGAAGAGGATGAGGATGAGGAAGAAGAAGAAGAAGAGGATGAGGAAGAAGAAGAGGATGAAGAAGAAGAAGATGAGGATGAAGAAGATGAGGATGAGGATGAAGAAGAAGAAGAAGAGGATGAGGATGAAGAAGAAGAAGAAGAAGTAGGATGAAAATAAGAGGAATTCCAGTCCAGCAAAAAGTGTCTCTGCAGAGAGCTCCGCTATTTCTTTGACAGTTCTCTGACAGTTCCTTGACATTTACAGCGGTTGCAACATTGTATCTATTTGTTTCCGAATAAAAACATCTGTATCCTAAATGGAAACAAATAGATACATTGTTGCAACCTCTATAAATGTCAAGGAACTGTCAGAGAACTGTCAAAGAAATAGCAGAGCTCTCTGCAGGGACACTTTTTGCCGGCTCTAGACGGGATGAAAATCGGCTGATTTTTTTTTACCATTGATGGTAACGTCGGCCACTTGAACGACCGATTTTTCGTTTTTTAAAAGAAAAATCTGCCGTTTTTCTCCCCATCTATGGCCTGCATAAGTGATGTGCTAAGTAACACTCTGAAAAACTTGTGATTGTATCAAATCAGCCTTATGTTTTTCATGAGAATATATATTTTTATTGTTGTACTAATAAAATGCTATATAACGTTTAACTAATAGTAATCTCTATGTTGTGGTGATGTACCTTTCAGAAAAAATTGGTGTTTTCAGTTTGTTGCTATACATAAATATTAGGGATGTTGGTATATCACCCGGTGTACCAGATCACAAATTATAATTCTCTGTGTAACTCTTAAGATCAAATAACAGCCAAACAGGGAGAACATTGTTTTTAATGAGTCAGATAATTAATAAGTGTTAGATTTTGAGTAGAAGCAGTGTAGCATAACCTTTCTGTAGCACTGCAACACAGGATCAGAGCCGTCATATGTAATGAGCAAATATGTGTGCCTCCTTGTATAGGTATAAATACAAGCAATACATATGGGTTGATTTACTAAAACTGGAAAGTGTAAAATCTGGTGCAGCTGTGCATGGTAGCCAATCAGCTTCTAACTTCAGCTTGTTCAATTAAGCTTTGACAAAAAAAACTGGAAGCTGATTGGTTACTATGCAGAATTGCACCAGATTTTGCACTCTACAGTTTTAGTAAATCAACTCCAGTGTGTAATGAGAACACATTGTCTCTGTCTCTTGCACTTTTTTTTTTAATTGTACAGTAGTGAGAGTACACACAGCAGGTCAGGTCTGAAGCTCCATAGACGCTGGGCGTTTCAATAACGCTGGTAACATTAGCTGTGTAAAGTCACATTAAAAGTGTAAGTTTTTCAGTGCTTTTTAGTGTTTTTGTATTAGCATTTAGCAGCATTTCTCCACGCTTTTCATACTTGCGTTTCTTAGAGGTTTTTAAAAAAATTTTTATAGTCAAAAGTCCAAAACCGCTGGTTTGATGCGAGCTATCGTGATTTACCACGTTTTGCTGCATTTTTCAGTGTTAGAGCATTTTTACAGCTAAAACACTCCTAGAAACCCACTAGTGCTGGGATTTTTTTCCAGCCAAAAAACTCCCCTGCCAAAAAACGTTGATTACAGTCTATGTGTGCATGGATACATAGGACAACATGGTGAGGAGTTTACTGGCTGTAGAAAAAAACGTCAAAAGCCAAAAACAGCCGCTGTAAAAACATCCAGTGTGCATGAGGACTGAAACTGTTCTCAACCATCATTACTGCATTTCCTGCATCAAATAAACATAAGCAGCCTTTCCAGCATCACACAACTTAGTCAACATTTCCACAGAGACAAATAAAAGACATAAAATAAATCCTAGCCTGTCTAGGACTTACTACACATTCACATTCCCTCTCTACAAGGAATAGGTATCTTGTTTCCAGCTTCAGTAAATATTAGCCGGTACGTACAAGGCTGCCTTCACCCAATCTCTCCTTGCAGATCAACATCATTTGGTTCCACCAAGATTAAAGAGAACATTTGTGAAGGCAGTTACTTCATCTATTCACAATCGACTCCACACCAGTAGCATAATTAGTTCAATATTGAAAAATACACGATAGTTTAACCATTTCAACACTCGTACACTTATACCCTTTAAGGACAAGAGAAATCTTTACATTTTCACTTTGTCCCTTTTTTTCTGCAACAAATGTGTCATTAAGATAAAGTAATGCATTCATTGTTTTTGGGGGATAAACTATGCTTTTGCGGCAATGTTGTTTTAGAAAAACTATTTTCTTTATCGCTACTGGGTGACACAGGGATTTGGGAATTCTTAAACCATCAGATTATACTATTATACAGGAGGTTTGGATACTGGCAAATACAAATAGTAAGCCAGCCCCTATATAACCCTGCCTTTAACCATCATGCCTCAGTGTCCTAGGAGGTTGAATGCTTTTTATATAGCTCTGCTGAAAAAAGGCATAACCATACATTGGCTAGTCTTTTATTCCTATTTTTTTAATGTATTTTCCTTTAATCAAGATACCCAATATATTGTAAATACAGTATGTTTTCCTTTGGTGACTTCAATTACAACTTCTAAATTCTGCCAAAGCTAGTCTCTACACAGCAGCTATTTGGAGCAGCATATCCTCAGCAACAGGTTTGCAATTTGTACTTGGGCCTTGTTTTATTAAAAGATTGATGGGCTAGCTTGAAATGTGACCTTTGAGAACTGGAGTCTGCATTGTAGAGCTTTCCAGACTGCTGTACTGTGTTAAATAGTCACAGAGTGCTACCGGGGTCTGGAGCCATGGCACAGCTTCTTATATGACCCAGTGAAGCTGAAGGCTCACTTAGTGAGAAAGGTGAGTTTGGTTAAAGCAATGGAAGCTAACTCACTGTTGTGCAGTTGGCACTTTTTAAAAATACCTGCCAACCCCTGGTTTTACCATGTTGGGTTTAAGGCTGAGGGACTTAAGCACTGACATTATCAGTTAGGTGGAGCATTGTACATGCATACTCTGCTCTCCCTCTCCTGCTATTCAGCCTAGAGGAAGCAGAGTCCTGCTTTTGCTCCTGCTTCTGAAGCACCTCATGGATCATCCAGTCTCTTGTTCTTTTCACTGCCTGGTTACACCTCTTGGTCACCTCAGGCCACCAGCAAGTCTTGTTGGCTCCAGCTACTTGAGTATTTGAGTGTGCAGGGCCTTTTCTTACTTTGGGCCAAGTTTTTTTCTGCTACGAGGTGCAACATGTATTTTTAAAGACACACAGAGGGTAATCCCTCTGCAGTGGGTGACCTCTGCCCATGCGCCTGTACAGCTTTTAGGGACAACTACTCTATCCCCTGAAGGAACAGATGCATGCATTCTAAATCCTGGGATCCTTCTTCTTATAGAGTTGTCCTCATCAGAGCCTTCTTCAGTTCCATTGGGTTGGCCAACACTTCCTCTGTGTCCACAAGGTTTCTTATAAGGTATTTCAAACTTTTTGTCAGATTGCGCACAGTTAATAGAGCAATCTACTTGCAGAGGCTCTAAATGCATTCTTGTGACTCCCATAGGAGAGTCTAACCTTTCTGTTCCTCCATCTCTAAATTTTTCTGAGTGCCCTGTTACCATCTTTGATTCAGAGTCCTCACAGAGCAAGCTTTTAATGACTCAGATTTACAAGGAGTTTTTTCTAACCTGACTGATTTAGTACATGTTGGCATTTATGGTTTGTGCCCACTGTAGATGCCACGGTGATCTGCTTTAACAAGCATGCAACCAAATGTGTTGATGGTGTCCTTAACTTTCAAGATTTCACTGGCAGACACTGAGACTCCCTGCTTAGGTCTCAGTTTGCATTACTTGGTGTAACTCTCTGTCCTCTGTTGGAGGTGACCGATTTGTTGAGTTATACCACTATAGCTAAAATCACTTAATGTAGAGCCCTCCATCACAGGTGCAGACTCGTGTCCTGGAGCCTTTGGAACAAATATCTGGAGCTCTGCATTTCAGCTGTGATAGCTTCTTACAAGAATACAAGCTTGTGTCTCACATGGGGTGATGTCTGTTCATATGTATAGGGCAATTTGGCTATGCACTTGGGTTTCCAAGGTATTCCCCATGAAACATCTGATTGATTTGCCTTTTATGGAAGTCATCTTTTCAGAACTGCACTTAACAATGTCATCAGCAATGCCACTGGTGGTTGGAGAGTCCTCCTGCCTCGTCACAGGGGATCTGTGGATTCTGCATTTACTGCTGCAGCAGTACTTCACTGATCGACAGAGACTACCTCCTACTTAAGCCGCAGGTGTCAAAGCCATAGTTCATCTTTCCCCTGTGCTCAGTCTTCTGCATGAAGATGCACCCCCATTTTTGTAAATGGGAGGCTAGTGTTTTTCCTGCTGGATCCCTTTAATAGTTCACCTCCCTGTTCACTGGACTTTCAGGCTTCCCCCTGTAGTCTTCACTCTAGACCCTTGAGTCAGCACCTCCTTCAGCCTATCCTTAGGGACTGAACCCCACTGAAACTTGCACTCCTCCCCATAGAGGAGTTATTTTCCCTCACAGGTGGTTGAACCCATTGCAGTGCTTGACTCCCCACAGCCCTACTCCTCTCTATTGATTTAGGGATCTTTTGACCTACAGCGGCAAGAGAGATCAGTATCTATGTCTTCCTTTTCTAGCAAGCTCTTCTGTGTCTTCCCTCTGTGTCCTCCAACAGTTCCAAACCCTGCTCATAGCACTAGCTTCTATGTTCATCATACTGCTTTTTCCTGGAATTCCCATTGTGGCATGCTCAGGAGTCCTCTCCTATAGAGAGTGAGTTTCCTGGATTCTCATAATGTGAGCAGTGCAGTGGATTCTATTGCCTGCAAACCTTGTCTAGATATGATTTGCCAACTTAGCAGCACTAGTTATTTTAGGTCACTTTTGAGTCGAGCTGTTTGGCTGAAATCTTTGTGAAGAAAATACGCTTTTTGTAGACCTTTAACCCTTTCCTTCTGTTTTGCAGACTTTTTTTCTGTTAACTTTTCTTTCTGTGTCTGTTCAGGAATTCCCATTTAGTATGATTCCCCCCTTTTCATGTGGTCTTTCAGTCATTTTCAGCCTCTTCCTCAGAGTTCGAAGTTTGAAATCAGAATAAGGCACCAAGCTGGTCTCTTTGGAACAAGTAGTCCTGGATGCTGTTTCCGGGCTCTGGCCAAGGAGGGATGACCCCTTTCCCCATTTTTTTTTTTACTTGCAATATTTCTTTTACTGAGATAATTTGCAGATCAAAGGTCACACCTACGATCTACATGTGAATGACATTGAAAAAATATTATAACAGTACATTGTTATGCTATATTACTCAATGATACTTACATACTATCTGCAAGTGTCATTTTGCAAAGGATCAGCTAAAATATGACAGCCAGGGGCGGACTGACCATTTGAAAACTCGGGCACTGCCCAAGGGCCCGGGGTCAGTAGGGGGCCCCATGAGATGCCTCTGGTACCTTTTTCATAGGATTTTTTGAGTTTGGGCAAGGACATAGGGGCCCCATGATCCTCTATTGCCCGGGGGCCCCATGAGTTGTCAGTCCGCCCCTGATGACAGCCACCCTTGTTATACAGTGCATAGCAATTCCCAGCTGTCATTTTGACAGTGCATAATAGAGTGTGGGGCGCTGTCAGGGAAAGAGCAACAGGGTGTAGGAGATATGTCCTATATCCTGGGGATTGCTGTCATATATTGAGGTGAGGGCTATTTGCTCAGATCAGACCTTTACTCAATGTTTCACATTGCTACTTTGCTAATAAAAGCATATTTTGATTACAAGTTGAGTATCGCATTGTCCTTTATGTAACCGCTTTTTCTTGTGAATTTCTTGTTGTTTTTTTCTAGGCTTTTCTTAGTAATTGGGCAATACTTTATACTTCTAGCGATACCTATTACCTTGAACGCCTCCATTCTTTATGGTCATTAAAGTTGTAGGAGATATGTCCTTGAAACTTTGTTGAAGTTTCTTAGGACGTGTGTCTCGTACGTTTAAGGTCCTGAGGTGGTTACATGACACCCTTTCACAATCAAACTAGGTTGTTTTTGAGCTTCAACACACATATGAGAGTAATCTGGGTAAACTCTTTCCCCAGTGATTCTTTTACAATAGAAAAAGGGGTTTTGAAAAAAATATACAGATATTGATAAGATTATGTACATCAAGCATGGCAATTACAGTATGTCTTAAAAAGGAATAATAAAAAATAATAAATTCCCAGTGCCCAGTTATCCTGTCGCCTGTATTCTTTAGAGATGACCAACTTCTTAAAATTAATTTTAACCATTATTTGTCCGTACTATCTGGTTTTCAACATGCAGATCTATAGCTATTCACAGATTTTGGATTTTACTAGTTATTTTTGTTTTGGAAGAGGTAGAGAAAAACATCTATAGAAAATGTTATAAGGAAATATTTTTAACAACATTGCATTAAATAATTTGTTTGCTGGCAGCATCAGCACCCTCAGCATCTTGGCCTAGGCAGGGATTTTGATGGTAATGATGAGGAATCACATATACTGTAGAGAATCATTTTGATTTTAGATTTTCTGAGGTGCAGTAGCATCACTGAAAAACAGCATTAACACAGTCAGCATCTTGGACTGAAACTGAAAGGCTGATGATGGTAAAAAAAAAAAAGTTCTAGATTGACTATAATAATTTATAGCAACCCTAGCAGTATTATATTATATTTCTATGTTTAGATTGGGTATTGGGTATGTTTCACAGTCTGTCAAACAGCTCTGTTTATCAGCAATTTGGACTCAGCAGGGAGGATATTGTTAAACTGGAACAAATTGCAAAATGAAATAATTACATATATGATGAAGTCTGTCAATCATAATTAACAAAGTATTTTTTTATACCCCCCCCCCCCATCCCAAATTGTTTGTCTGTAACATAAAGTCCATTAAGAGCTACAAGTTTTGAAATGCACTGCAATTACATCGAATAACAAGCTGCGTTGTCACCCTGGAACTGGCAGGATCAACAGGAAATAAAACTTCCTACATAAAATGTACATGCTGTGTTAATGCTAGTGACAGATGGCATCAAATGCCATTTTTTATTTTGCCCCTAGTCTCACTTTAAAAATAAAGCTTCCTTTATGGTTTGTTTGTTTGTTTGCTAGGTTTCTGTGGTGACAGCAGATTCAGCATCTTGGACCAGGTAGAGAGGCTACCTTTTAAACAGTACATACAGTATATGAGAGTTGTTTTACCTGCCAAAGAATTTAAGTATTCCTCTGTCCTGTCTTAGGCTTGGTTCACATCTGTACAGGTGGTGCCACTGTGGGAACCGCACAAATACCTGCAGCCGCACCACCCACACAGTGGAATGCTGGACCCACGAGCGGTTGCCATTAATTCCAATGGCACGCTGCCCACACTGGATATCGCAATCATGCGGGCTGTAATTTCTAAAGAAGTGTAGGAACGTCTTCCCTGCATGTCCCGGGACACGGGCGTCCATTCAAATAAATGGGCTCTCGTGCCTGCGCAAATCGTGGCCTGCATGGACGCACATATGTGAACCTGGCTTTAAGAATTGCATCTTGTGATTAGATAGTGAAGGGACAGCAGCAGACTGATGAGGCTATCTTTCTGATCTTTCCCCGGTCAGCACATTCCTTATCAATACATGTGAATACAGGGCGCTGAGTTGTGTCTCTATCTGTCCCAATCCTTGTGCTGCTTTACAGGGGATTACAGAATGGTTGAAATTTAGTCAAAAAAGGTATTTAAGTTAGTGCAAATTACTTTATGTGATAAATACATAATGGCAGAAATTGTTTGTAAATTTTCACGGAGATCCTCTTTAAGTGACAAGAGCAGGGAAATGCAACTACCCTGAGCCAAGAAATGTTTGAGCACATTTAGAGCACCAGACAGCCAACAACAATTTAAGATTAGCAAAGATTTAAAATGGTTGTAAACCTCAGACATGAAATATGAGCAAATCACATTGTTTTGTACTGTGTACTTGTCTCTATCCAAAGCACTGAATGTCATTTCTCTCTGCTGCCTCCTCCCTCTGCTATCTGCCTGAGTAACTTCTGACAGATTTTCCTGACTCCAAGAGATAAAAAGGTGATGGGGAAGAGAGCTCCAGCATACAGCCTGTGATTGACAGCCAGAGCTCTGCATGTTCCTTCTGTACTGTGAGTAGAGGGGCGTGTTTCTTCCCTCCAGCCAGGGCTGAGAGTTCAGATCGCCACCCTCTGGCACTTAGAGCTGAGAGATGCTGTATAAAGTGTGTGTTTTGGAAGGCTTCAGAGAAGACAGGCTGTAGATAAACAGGTATAACTTTTGTAGGAGGATTTGTTTCAGCTCTGTGTATCACCTGAGGCTGGTCACTTCACTGGGTATATGTAAGGGTTTACAACCACCTTAAGGTTAATAAATACTTCTACGATGGGTGTGGTAGCACCACATTTGAAGGAATATACACTTCCAAGTTGAAATGAGCACAGAGGCTGTATTTGAAAAAGAGGATTGTTGGACAGCACAACTGAAAAGCATTATGGGCTGACCAGCTAAACCCAGCAGACAACTGATATGGATACTGAAGTAGCTGTAAGTGCACAAGGGGGGATGTTTCTTTTTCAGCAAGCAAAGTAGTTTGTAGATTTTATTGGAGAGAAGAAAAGAATCACGGACTGGGCAGGAAGGCAACAATAAAAATTGATATTTTGATGATTTTTTTAATGGGGACTAGTAGGACCAGAACAAAGCATAATCTTTTTTTTTTTTTGCACAGAGAACGAAATGCTTTGAATAAGAAAAAGAAATGTTAGCAGTATGCACTGTATCTTGCAGGCTATCAACAAAAAGAGAATGTATAGTAGTTTCATTTTATTTTCTTTATTACATTTATGTAACATTTATGAGCAACTCATGGTGCTCTGGGAATCCTTTGGCAGGTATTAAATATTTATTTGTAAATCCAATTCTCTGTTAAAAGGAAACCTGTACCAAAGATCGGAGCCATTGCTGACCCCTCCTGAAAATATTTCATTCATAGTTCTCATGCTTTTCCAGTGTTTTAGGTTACTAGATTTTTTTAATGTTCATAAGCTGCTTTCATGCACACATGTATAATTTACTTGATCTGTGAAAGGTGACATTCTCTAACACAATCACTACTACAAATTTATTTTAAAAAGAAAGAAAATAATATATGTTCAAACATTTATTGCTTTCATTATGGGTAGCAATGAATTTATTTTGTTGCCGTGTTCCTGCATGCTTCATTTGCTCTCTCATTAGGTAAAGAATAAATTATGGATATTGGGCTGCCTATTGTTATGTACAATCTTATTACCTAACACACAACTCTCTGAAAATGTGTCAATGAACAACGGTGAATTATAGGTGAACCTCTTTTTCTTTTTTATATGTGAGTATGCATTGTGCAGCCAGTAGAGTTGCTGAAAACTCAAACACTACACACCATATATATTTTATATGTATTAGTATAATGCATTAAATTTTGTAAGTCAGAATGAGTGTTACTACCATTACTGTTCTGATATTTGTATAAATGCTTTATATGTCACTTATGGTAGTAGAGCACCGCGGTTATGGTTGCAAACATCCCTTTTTGCAACACATTCTCAAATGTGGTATATATCTGATAATGTGTGCAAAAAGCCCTACACAACTCTGTGTTCAGGAGATGGGTCAAACCCTCCAACAACAAATGAACCCTCATAGACTTACAGTTGACAAAACAGATGTACCTGTAGTGGCCCATTTCTGCAGTATTGTCAACAGCATAAATGATCTCAAAATTATGGTACTGATGAGGAACTTCATAGGAAAATACAGAAAGAGATACTGAAATGGGAATGGGAATTTATACCAACATTTAAAAGTCTAGACTGTGGCCTAAATAGAGAGCGGCATTTTATACACTACAATATTTTGAGTTTTTGACTTCTGACTATAATGCCTTTCTTCCTTTAAAGGTTAAAATTAGGTAAACAAAAATTCCTACAGTTTTAGTCACATCATTTACCTGTAATGCCCCACATTGTGAAGGCAGCTGGATCCTGGAGAAATCTTCACGGCAGGCATGCCTGTCTTCTTCCTGTCTCTGAACATCCAGTGCTGCAGTGGGTCTTCAGGCAGAACAGCAGTACAGGTTGTCTAACAGGGACACAACCACTCATTACTCTTCCACCACTGAGAAAAATGCTTTCATTAATTACTCTGCATGTACAATCACTTGAGAATAGGGGAAAGAACCTGATGACTGATCAGACTTTCTTCAATTTACAGATCGTGTTACAGATAGTGTAAGCAATGAATGAACTTTTCACAATGGAGGAGGAGGAATGAGTTCAACGTAACTTAAAATTTTTTTTAAACATAAAGCTTAATTTAAAGTACTGTATACAGGGACGGACTGACAACTAATGGGGCCCTCGGGCAATAGGGGATCATGGGGCCCCTGTGTCCTTGCACAAACTTAAAAAGGCCTATGTAAAAGGTACCAGGGGCATCTCATGGGGCCCCCTACTGACCCCGGGCCCTCGGGCAGTGCCCAAGTTTCCAAATGGTCAGTCCGCCCCTGACTGTATAATAATTTAAAGTGGAAGGTCCACTTGTTTGCGTCCTCCCTCCCTCTACTGCCACGTCTGGCACTTTTTTTGAGGGAGTGGGATCCTAGCTCCCACTTCTGGTGAGATCCACCACAGCCCTTCTCCTTCCCATGAGACACTTCACAGGACCCAGAAGACTGTGGGACCATTCATAAAGCACATCGTAGCAGAAAACCGGTTGTGAAGCCTCAAGTCTTCACTGCTGGTTTCTCTTACTAAAGATCCCTGGACAGGTAAGTGTCCTTATAATAAACATCAGCAGCTACAGTATTTGTAGCTGCTGACTTAATTTTTTGGGGGGGGAGTCCGGAGCTCAGTTTTTAAGCATTTTTTTTTTAAACATAGCTTCTCTCACAACTCCCTCTTTAACAGTGTGTAGAAAAGCGAACTAAGGTTTTCCAGGAAGAAAATAGCATTTAAAAAGGAAAACAGCTATTTTTATTTTTTTTTTGGCAAGCTTTGCTATGTGAATGGGAATAACAAAAAATATAAAGTAGATGGTAGTTCAATTTGGCTGCAAATGTGGAAATACGCTTTAAACTGGCCAATAAATGGTATCACTCAAAGACTCCTTTAAGTTCACCTTTAAAAAAAAAAAAAAAGAAATGCACATTTTTTTTAGATAAAAAAAATTGCATTTATTATTTTTTTTTCTGGAACCTGCAGAGCATTGCACCTGCAATCAGCAGATCATGGGTGCGATGTCAGGCTCCTGCGGGGTCTTAGTATAACTGTCTACCCGTACCTCCCATATGGGCAGTTACTGGAGAGCAGGAAGATCAACGAGAGCCCTCACAGTTCATTGAGAACTACAATACATCTGCTGCACTGGCAGATGGTAGTTGTAATTAATTAATTCACAGATCTTTGTAAATGAATGATATGGCCATGTGGATAGAGCCGCACATGGGTGCGCTCTTTTTAAATTGATCACAGCAAGGGATTGAAAGGGCGTAGGCAGGTGCTTTTTGGTAACATGTTACAAGTTACACCCCAAATACGGGTGTAACGTCACACTTTCCCATTGGTAAACTTAACCTTGACTCCTGGTTCACACTGATGTGGTGCATAATTTGCAGCGTTTTCTGTGCGAATTCTGCACCGCATCAGAATCACACCCCGTTCATGCGAACCACTGCGGGTGTGTATGTTAAGTTAACAACACTGGATAGAGAGAAAACACACACCTAGTGCATTATCCAAGGTTTATTGTAAAGAGTAAAAAATAATAAAAACATACAAACGAAGCATGTATCTAAAAAGCATAGAAAAATGACGATGGCCACAGCGGCAGGCAAGGTGTCCTCACTGTCAGTGCGGTCAAATGGCTGACGCGTTTCGGGGACGAATCCCTTTCCTCAGACATGATGACCAGCCTCTGATGCAGATGTGTAATGGATGGAAAGTGGGAGCCTTGCTGGTGATGCATTCGTTTGTGAGTATGTTTTTATTATTTTTTTACTCTTTACAATAAACCTTGGATAATGCACTAGGTGTGTGCGCCACCTATTTTCTCTATCCAGTGGCTGATTTCCCCGTCTGAGGAGGGCTGCACCCCTGAAGCATTTCCTTTGGTTTTCGCTGTCCTGATACCCTTGGCTTCCCTTTTGGCTGTGCATATCCTGAGGCGCTGGAGAGTACATACGATATTAAGTTAACAACACCCCGAAAGTGGTCCACATAACGCGGTGCGATGTGCAGAATTGGATCGCATAGGTGTGAATACCCATGCGATCTGATTCTGGTGTGGACCAAAAAAAGGATCCTGCGCCTTTTTGGTGTGGTTAGAGCCATACAAAATGTATGGCTCCAATCGCACCGCGTACAAATTGCATGTGATTTGCACAGGAATGCGGTGCGGTTCCTGTGCGAATCACATGCGGTTCGGTCTACCGCACCGCATATATGTGAACCCAGGCTTAAACTCCAAACTTTCTGCATATGTTAATTACATAATGTATTTTCACTAGGTGCCCTTAACAGTCATAATTGCAACCCAACCGTAACACAGCACGACATGAAAGTCGCAGGGTTTGTGACCCTATATCGGGAATGCTCAAGGCCACAAAATATATTGATTATTTCTTATATGATATAAAAATTACATGTAACATAAGTACATTTGCATGAATAATATTCCTAATATTGAGAAAAATTCTATGTTCATTGACAGTTACCAATTTAATGACATGATACTTTCAAAATGAGTCATGTGATCCAAGTGACACATCCACTCTGCACATACTGTATATTGATTGATGTACACTGCTGTACTGCAGGTTATTAGTGTTTGGCCAACAGACAAATGTAATTATTAAATTGCATAGTTCACGCATTTACGGTATAATACTGTTAGGGAAATGTTATTATCTCATGTGTATGTGCACCTGTACTCCTCCTCCTTTCATTTCACACTTTCTGTTCATGCTAAAGAACAAACGCTCAACAAATGTATCCTGCTAGCCATTTAAAGGTTTTAGAGTAAGTGCTCTAGCTGTGCTTAGAATTTCCCTGGGGGAACTAAGAGCTAGAAAATACATCTCTATATACCATATAGCTAGTATTTGTGCTATCTGTTTTAATTAGTGGTTGTAAATAGCTTTTTGCTCCATTGACTTGTTAAAAAGGGGACTGCTGGTGAGTAAAATTTCTGTATTTGACAGATAAATAAAAAATGGCATGATATTGTCTTGTGGCATCCATCCAGCTATGTATTCGGTTAAAGAGGATTGGAGTAGATATATTTAGCTAGCTTTGTTAAATCGTCATTTTCTATTGAAACAGTGTGCTTCACGTAATTATAGGATATCAGGAGTTAGGAATGCTGCCTGCAATTAGATAAAAATAGAATTAGGACAGTAAAACAAAGGAATGCAATTATGGCAGGGACAGACTGGTCAAGCATTGCTGCATGCAACTGGAAAAGAAACAAAGAAGCCTTAGGAAGGGGGATTTTAGAAGACAGACTGGAAACATAAAAGGTGAACATACAATACAATGCTGTAGGTGGGGGGTCCACTGGAGACAAAACAGGTAAGGGATTTAAATGGAAGCACACAGGGGAGCCGCTAAGAAATATTTTGTGATTTATTAGTAGTTAAAGTATAATAAAAGTACACTTTTTTGGATAGAGTGGATTAGAATGCCTGTCAGGTCTTTAATCCTGTCTATGCCCTCGTTAGAGAGATTAATCCCTCCATATTTATATACGATATATATATATATTTTATTTATTTCAGGTACTTATATAGCGCCGTCAATTTATGCAGCGCTTTACATATATATTGCACATTCACATCAGTCCCTAACCCTCAAGGGGTGTACAATCTAAGGTCCCTAACTCACATTCATACTTACACATACTAGGGACAATTAAAACAGGATCCAATGCACCTACCAGCATGTCTTTGGAGCGTGGGAGGAAACAGGAGTACCCGGAGGAAACCCATGCAGGCACAGGGAGAACATTCAAACTCCAGGCAGGTGGTGCCATGGTTGGGATTTGAACCAACAACCCTAGTACTGCCAGGTGGAAGTGCTACGCATTTAGCCACTGTGCTGCCCTATATATATATATATATATTGTTATCTCAGAGAGTAAAAATGAAACACAAAATCCAAAATTTTGGTGTGTAACCAGAACAGGAATAGAGAGGAAATCTTCCAATAGGGGCACTGGTTCCTGTGACAATCAGGGATTCTAGCAATTTTGATGGATTACTCTCACTTCCTATGGGAGAGGAAGTGAAGAAAAATCTCCCTAAAGAGACACAGATGGCAAGAAAAACAGGCAGGGGTTATAACGTTCTCTTACTTTATCCAAATGAAAAAAATGTTTGTCTTTAGTTCCACTACTTTCAATAAAATATCCCAGCTTATTGTTACTCTAATATAGGTGGTAGACAGCTATGGACTCGTGCCACTAGAGCAGGAATGGGCAAACTACGGCCCGCGGGCTGTATACGGCCCGGCGGACCTTTTAATCCGGCCCGCGGAGCGTGATACAAAAAAAAAAACAGCCAGGGCAGGCAAACATTTGCATCATTCAGCGCGCTCAAATGCAATGATTGGCCAGTCTCGCTGCCACTCACATCCTGATAGCCAGTGATTGGCTGTCAGGATGTGTGTAGGCGGGGCAGCGTGACGAACGTGAGGGGAGCTAGGCTCCTCTCACAGTCCGCCCTGAAGACCGGAACGGCGCGGGAACACGCCGAGAGGAACGCGCGGAGCAAAGGTAATTTAATTTATATTAATTCACACATACACATCATTCATCTACTCTTGGTCCGGCCCCCGGGTCCAATATATGAACCCAATGTGGCCCTCAAGTCAAAAAGTTTGCCCACCCCTGCACTAGAGACTAGTTGTTGACAGGTCTCTGTGTTGAGGGTTTAGAAGAAACAACGTCAAATTTGATGTTACCCAAAATGTGGGTGGTAGTAAAAGACTCCATTGGGATCTGGGGCTGCTACCCTTCTAGTACACTGACAGGGTATTTTCGGAAGGAAACATTTGAGTAAGTAAGCGCCCATTGTCCAAAAAAAAAATCTCACTTGATGGTTTGTTAGGATCCTTCTAATCCTATGAACTAATATACTTCCATCACTAGGACTATTTTGGTTTCCTTGAGTAACAAGAGGGAGAGCCCAATGTACAATGCATTTCTAAAACACGTTGGCTCTCCTTGTGTACTTTTAGCTCCAATAAACAGTGCGATATTTTATGGACACAAGGCGTTCCCTCTTGTTACTCTAGGAAACCTAAATACTTCTAGAGATGGAAGTATATTTTTCAGCTCATAGGATTGGAAGGATCCTAATGTTAATTTAAATGTATATGTACATAACATAATCTTTAACACTTAGGGCTCATTCACACTTAACTAATTTCTAACTCTTGCCAAAAGCCCCTATAGCGTTTGACAGGCGTTAGACAGGCATTTGGGAAACCTTTTTAATGCTCCTCAAACGCTCCCCAAATTATTATTATTATACAGGATTTATATAATGCCAACAATTTGCTCAGCGCTTTATAATATAAAGGGAGACAATACAGCAACAATACAGTTCAATACACGAGGGTATGGAGGGCCTTGCTCCTTGGAGCTTACAATCTAACAGATGCCCTATGCACATTTTTGAGGCATTTGCCAAGCATTAAAACCGCACCAAAAACGCCTGTAATGAAGTTTAATGGTATTAACACTCTGCAAGGGCTCCGCAACCACCTCACAAACGCCCTGAAAATGCCTGCCGGGCATTTGAGGAGCTTCACCATAGACTTGAATGGGAGGCTTCAACTCCTCCTGACTCAATATGAGGCGTCAATTTTGCCGCAACGCTAACGCTTCAGTGTGAACAGCACTGTGTGCTGCCATGTGTAGAATTTTCATAGGCATTTGAGAAGCCTTAAAACCGCTTCCCAAACACCTGTCTAACACCTGCTAAGAAAGCTAGTGTGAACTTAGCCTAACTTCTTCAACCCTACCCATGTGCGTAAGTTGAGCTCAACATTTTTATGTCCTAAGAGAGCAGGGGGTCTTTCCTCAAATTATGTTTAATATATAAATATTAAGGGAACATTTACTCCTCTTAGTGTTTTATGTGTTTGTTCTTGGGGTGTGTTGTTCTTTAGGAACTAGTGTTCTATGTGTTGCAATTCATCTCAAAGAAATATGTGGTTTGCTGGAAGAAAATGCAACAATGCAAATTTATTCTTAAATAGACACAGTTGATATAAAAAGTCTACACACTCCTGTTAAAATGTCAGGTTTCTGAGATGTAAAAAAAATGAGACAAAGATAAGTCATTTCAGAACTTTTTCCACCTTTAATGTGACCTATAAACTACAACTCAGTTGAAAGACAAGCTGAAACTTTTTATATCCACTGTAGGTGTGAATGTAACATAAATCTTTTTTGCAAATGTGGAATTTTACTGACATGATGAATAGAGGAGTATTCCAGAATGTAAGATGCTCATCTTGGTAATAACAACTTTGTTTACTTACATTTTACTCAACTTGTAAAGGACAGTCTAGTTGAAGGAAAATTGACCAATATATTTACCGTATTTCGCGCTCCATAAGATGCACCTGACCATAAGACCCACCTAGGTTTTAGAGGCGGAAAACAAGAAAAAAATATTCTGAATCAATGGACTGCAGACATAGTACAGGAAATGATCAGAGACTGCGGACACAGCACAGGAAATGGCCAGAGACTGCAAACATAGTACAGGAAATGACCAGAGACTGCAGACATAGTACAGGAAATGACCAGAGACTGCAGACATAGTACAGGAAATGACCAGAGAGACTGCGGACACAGCACAGGAAATGGCCAGAGACTGCAAACATAGTACAGGAAATGACCAGAGACTGCGGACACAGTACAGGAGATGACCAGAGACTGCGGACATAGTACAGAAAATGACCAGAGACTTCGGACATAGTACAGGAGATGACCAGAGACTGCGGACACAGTACAGGAAATGACCAGAGACTGTGGACATAGTACAGGAAATGACCAGAGACTGCAGACATAGTACAGGAGATGACCAGAGACTGCAGACACAGTACAGGAAATGACCAGAGACTGCAGACATAGTACAGGGGATGACCAGAGACTGCAGCCATAATACAGGAGATGACCATAGATTGCGGACGCAGTACAGGACTTGACCAGAGACTGCGGACACAATACAGGGGATGACCAGAGACTGCGGACACAGTACAGGGAATGACCAGAGACTGTGGACATAGTACAGATGACCAGAGACTACGGACACAGTACAGGGGATGACCAGAGACTGCGGACACAGTAGATGACAGGACATGTACAGAGATGACCAGAGACTACGATCATAGTACAGGAGATGACCAGAGACTGCGGACATAGTACAGGAGATGACCAGAGACTGTGGACACAGTACAGGGAATGACCAGAGACTGCGGACATAGTACAGGGAAAATACCAGGGACATAGTACAGATGACCAGAGACTGCAGACAGTGCAGGGGATGACCAGAGACTGCAGACAGTGCAGGGGATGACCAGAGACTGCAGACAGTAAAGGAGATGACCAGAGACTGCAAACATAGTACAGGAGATGACCAGAGACTGCGGACACAGTACAGGAGATGACCAGAGACTGCAGACATAGTACAGGAGATGACCAGAGATTGCGGACATAGTACAGGAGATGACCAGAGACTGCAGACATAGTACAGGAGATGACAGGAGACTGCGGACATAGTACAGGAGCTGACCAGAGACTGTGGACACAGTACAGGAGATGACCAGAGACTGCGGACACAGTACAGGAGATGACCAGAGACTGCGGACATAGTACAGGAGATGACCAGAGACTGCAGACATGGTACAGGAGATGACCAGAGACTGCAGACATAGTACAGGAGATGACCAGAGACTGCAGACATAGTACAGGACATGACCAGAGATTGCGGACATAGTACAGGAGATGACCAGAGACTGCAGACATAGTACAGGAGATGACAGGAGACTGTGGACACAGTACAGGAGATGACCAGAGACTGCGGACACAGTACAGGATGACCAGAGACTGCGGACCAGTAGAGACCAGAGACTGCGGACACAGTACAGGAGATGACCAGAGACTGCGAACACAGTACAGGAGATGACCAGAGACTGCGGACACAGTACAGGGGATGACCAGAGACTGCGGACATAGTACAGATGACCAGAGACTGCAGACAGTAAAGGAGATGACCAGAGACTGCGGACCTTTGGGAAGGGAGGAGGAGCGGGTACCTGAATTTGACAGGTACCCGCTCCCACTTCCGCGGAGTTGTCCTTCCCTCTTCTTCCCGCGCCGACTTCTGTGACAGCCGGGTGCCAACTGCGCATGTGCGAGAAGCGCTGCGCTTTGTGAATGACCCGGCACATTCTGGGACCTGTCATGTGTCCCAGAAGACGCCAGACCATTCACAAAATGCAGCGCTTCTCGAGCATGTGCAGTGGGCACCCGGCTGTCACAGAAGCCGGCGCGGGAAGACTGTACAGCGCTTGAGCGAGGAACTGGTAAGGTCATGCAGGAGAGAAGAGCTGAGCAGCCAGCCCGATATTCTGACATGGTGGCGGCATTTTCCCCCCTTTTTTTGGGGGAAAAAAAGTGCGTCTTATGGAGCAAAAATTACGGTAATATGTGCCATGTAGCAGGCCAATTCCATTTTTACCTGAAAAGAGGTAACACAGCTCTGTTACGTTTTAATATTGCTTACAACCACCTTTTGGTAGTACACAACATAAATAGGTCCAAATATAAAAAATTAACTCAACGAAAGCCTTAGTGTTTGCACAGTCATTATGTATGGCAATCCATGTAATGTGTCTAGTATGTGTATTTCCTATTGTCACCAGCTCCATCCAGTGGCTATAATGTGGTATTTTCCTGTTTGTGATATTTCCGAAAAATACTGCATTATGATCTCAAGATGGAGTCAGCAATTATAGTAAATACACATACTAGACACATTATACATATGATCTACAATGGCTATATATAAAGTTATAGCCACTGTCAAAGGTCTCTTCGCTGATTGATATATATATATATAGGCGGTATATAGGTATAGTCACTCTTATAGTGTTATTCACTGCTGCAGCTCCTTACTGAAAAGTCTCCTCCTTCCAACCCCCCTCCCGACATTCTGACACTCTGATTCAGAGCTAGATATTGGATATCGGTAGGGGGGCAATGGAATTTGTAACTGCGCTTTAAGAAAGGTATAGGATGGAGTGATGGGAGGTACTCTGGTGGAATACTGGTTTGCGGATGCCAGAGAATTCTTTTCTTGGAGGCATTACACTGCTGAGTTGAGGATGTGGAAATTGATGACGGGTAAAATGTGCTGCTGGACCAGAGATGCAGTTACTGCAGCTTTTTCAGGGCACTGTGAAGGTACCAGAAGGCATTGAATAGGTGAATATTTGCCTTACCCATAACATGCTGTGAAACCTATCATTAAAATATACACCTTGGCCCTCGACAGCCGTTTAAAGTTCAAAAATGTGGAAGGGACCTGGCAAGTGTGTGAATTTTGTCAGCTTTTGATAAATATTTACATTGACATTTTGTAATCCATTTACTTTTTTTTTTCTTTTTTTCTATTCAAGGGCGAATTACTTAATCCATGTCGATGTGATGGGTCTGTAAGGTACACCCATCAACTCTGCCTTCTAAAATGGATTAGTGAACGAGGATCATGGACCTGTGAACTATGCTGCTACAGATACCAAGTTATAGCTATTAAAATGAAGAAACCTTGCCAGGTAAGGCAAGCCATCTGCATTTACAGGGCTTTTACAACCAGTTTGATATTAATGTAATTAGTCCATAGTCAGCCTCAGTTTTGAAGAATCTTTGTTTACTGTCATCCAGAAGAGTACATTATTTGCCAAGTTCTTGTGGTTAACTAATCAGAAATGATCTTTTAAGAATATGAGTTACTGACACTAATTGCAATTTAAAAAGCCACAGGTGTGGGACATTAATTGTGTCTGTACCAAGGTCAAACATTCCAGGGTATGTAAACTTTTGATCCGGGCCATTTGGGTAAATCATTATGATTTAAAAAGGAGCCAAACAACTATTTGATAATAAATGGCTTCATATGACCACCATCCTTCAATAAAAGAGCATTTTTTGGCATGATCAGTCATATTTTCAATATCAATGCCAAAATTTCACAATTTCTGCCAGGGTATGTAAACTTTTGAGCACAACTGTACATACACACACATACAGTTACACTTATTAACACACACACAAATACATACATACCTTACGACATACATACAGATATAAACACACACATACATACATACATACCTAAAACAAAAACAACCTGTGCCAGAAAAACTATGTGAAACATTTTAAAGTGAATGCTGCTGTGCCTTGATAAGAATCAAAAATATTGATAAAAATCAAAAATCAGTGAAAGAATAAAACAGCGCAAAACAAGAAATGAATCAAAAAATAATTATACACAAATCATAATAAATTCTATGGTTATAAAATAAAACCACCAAAATATAACATTTGTGTCCAAATACAAAAAGTGATGAAACCAAAAACAAAGAAAGTCCCCTTTAACTTCCCTAGCGGTATTCCCGAGTGTAGCTCGGGGTAGAATGTTTGTACCAAAAGCGGTAACCCCGAGCTACACTCAGGCTTACCCTGCGGCGCTGCATAGGGAGTCCCTGCAGCACTTACCTTGTCCTTCGCTCCCCTGATGTTTCCCCTGCAGCATCCCCGGCCATCTCCTCCGGCCGATGCCGGCATCCGGCTTCCGTGTTCCGGTCCCTGTGACGTCGGGACTTACGGGCGCTGCCGCCGGCGGCGGCGGGAAATTTAAAAATTTAAAAAAATGTCTTTTTTTTTTTTTTACATTTTTACATAGTAAAACATTGCTGTTTCAAACCATTTCACATACATTTTGTCCCGAGTGCTTTGTCCTGTGCCCTGCCTGCATTTTGTCTGTTCTTTCTGCCTGGAAACTGAGAAAAGTCCATGGCGTCCAAAAAGTGTCCCTTTAGGTCAAAAGCGGGTTTAGACTAGCTAGAGAACAGCGATAGTAAATCAGAACCACTTGCAGAATTGAGTGATAATGATTCGTGGGGAAATTCGTCATCAGACACTGAAAACGATTTTGCGACTCTGCTCAGCGATGTGCGAACTTGGCGCTCTATTTCAAATTTCAGTGTTTTCGGTTTGATTATATTATTGAATTAAATGTAATATTATTATATTATTATTTTTTTGATTATTTATTCAATTATAATTTATGATTTTGTGTTTCAAATTTTATCCTACCCGGGGTGTTTACTAGACTCTTGTTCAGACAGATTTCAGTGAGTTATTCCTAAAAATTACAGCCTACAATAAAAAAAAACTACATATTTCCATGCAAAATAATGGTACTGCTTTCCAGCACCAAAAATCTGAAATAATCAGACCGCTAGGGAGGTTAAACATGCAAATTGTGCTCCAAAAATTTTTTAGGATAAGTGTAATACAGAGAAAAGATTCCACGGATCCACACCTCCCTGTGAATACTGATGTATTCCGCACTCACCAAAGGTAAGTATAAATTGTACTTTATGGATACAATATTATCCTCCAATTCCCAGGGAAAATTTCCTCTCCATAGCCTTCTCCATATACAAGAGCTTCCTTACGTCCAACTTCAAGTTGTTTCCTGACTGCTTGTCACTGTTCTGACTGAGCTCCTGCTGTGCCAATCTGCAGTTCAGAAGAGAAGCAGGAGCTCTGGCTTATCTGCCAGCCTTGTTCTACCCGCATGGCTCAGACCACACTCTGACGGAGAAAGGTTGGTCTAAATTGTGGGCACCTAGAGCTAGAGCTGCCTGCATTTACCTTTCAGCTATTTGGAATAGATCTACTGTTCTCATGAAACTCTGGGTGTCCTAATCAGCCAACTTTCCTTGCTGCACTTTCCACAGGCAAGCAGCATCAAAAGGAATGCAGCGGCTGATACGTCTCCCTTCTGTCTGAATTCCTCTTGCTGCTGCTTGTCTGTGGTCTGTGGATGAGCTTCACTAAAAAATCAGCCGTCTCCCTCATAGCTGTTGTCAGATTGGCCGCGGCAGAAGAGGAGGGGGCAAGTCGGACCTCTTAGCTATGGTTAGAAAGCACTTATCAACATGGAACAAAGTACATTGTGTATTTTGTCCCACAGGGAACAGATCTGTAACAAAAACTATGTTAATAGATCTTCCTTAGGTTTTAACGGTTTCCGCATTTTGCATTTTCCCACGGTCGACGGTCAAAACGTTCCTATCCTGAAAGCCATTCTTCCGCATTCCGGAGAGGGAGGTGTATCTTCACCTAAACACAACAGCTCCTAAACTCTGCTAAAAGCCTATGTGTACATGGACACATAGGCTTTTATGGCGTTTAGTATAGGAGCTTTGGCAAAAAAATGCCAAAAGCTCCTAAACCCGAGTTCAGGAACTGCTCGTGTACATCAAGCCTTAACCCCTTAACTGATTACAATTCCCTGTGTGGAAGTCATACAGTGATTAGTTAATATAGGACACTGCACTGAACAATTTGCACTCTACATGATAAGGTCAAATTACCCTTTTGTCAACAATATAAAACATTTTTTTAATAGATTATTGCATACAACCATTCATCACATGTATCTCTTTGGCCCCTCAATAGTTTGGGTGCATGGCTGGCCTATACTGGTGTTGTAAGGAACAAATAAATGAGGAAGGCAGATCCCTAAGCACTCTATTTGCATATTTATTTGAAGGTCTATGTTGAAAACATCCAATGTTTCAGAGGCATGAAGTTCTTTTTTATCAAGGTGACAAAATGTATTGTAAATATGCACACTGAGTGCGTGGCGTGCTAGCCTACAAATGTATTTTGATTATATATGCTTCTAATAGAGATGCCTGTAGGCTGGTGCCTAGGAGTATACAGTTGCAATGTGAGGCTGTAAATTGTAGCACCGCTCCTAAGTATGCCAATTATGTACCCAGTACTGTGGACTGTGTTTAAATGGCCATGAAGAAAAATAGACTGTGCACTTTGCAAGTGCAGTTACACTTTGCACACAGAGCTTAAATGAGGTGAAGCTTCACTTTGCATAGAATGCCCAATCACATGCAATGAAAACAAAAAAAAACAACTTTTTGCTTGAACATTATTGGGTGATGGAAGTCAGCCGTGGTTCCGTTCATTTACTAAGCTCTGGAGCCAATGCCCTTGCAGAGTGAAACTGCACCTGCAAAGTGCACAGTCTATTTGCCTTTAGTAAATCAACCCCATAGCTGGCAACCCCATGCAGCCCATTACACACTCGCACACAAACTCAGAGTAACTGAGTGAACGCTCTCATGTGCAAATGCAGAGATTTCCATGCAGGGCTGACTTTGCAACTCAGATCTGTGGAGTGACACAGAAAACACCAGGATCCTTTGTACAATGAAGCCTGGAATATGGCAGAAGAGTATATTTGTATGTTTAATGAGCTCTTCTCCCTTTGCACAGAAGATAGTTACTGACCTCTCCTTAACAATCCCTATGTAATGTACCTGAACCCATTGTCACGTTCCCCAAAGCCATACACTGTTTCTCTTTCTAGAAACATGCACAGTAAATTGATTTTCCATTTTCAACGCAGAAGTGAAGAATCCTTAATATAGTAATCTCACTCTATCACTGAAAAGTATGACACACCTGACTTGCCTGCTGCATGAACTGCACCTTATAAGACTCTGTTACATGGTATGGACCTAGACCTGGCCCTGTGTACTTTTTGGGTAATAGAAAATCATTACAAATAAAGAAACAAATACAGATAATGCATCATATGCTATAATACATTATTTCAAAGATTCATGTCAGTAAATATTTTAAAGATATTCACATTATATATTCATTTATATAGAAAATAAAAATCAATATACTATCCCCCTAAACAAGTGGAACAAGTGAAATGATTGATTGATGTATACATACATGACATTCTGTAATACAATATTCCATTTCTGTAGCAGTAATCATGTATGGAATGGGCACTTCAAGAAAACCGCATAAATCTTAAGTATGTGGATACAAATATAAACCAGCATATATAACCACTATACAAATTATTTTATTGTTGTTAAAATTTACCTTTACGTTTCTGTCTGCAGACAGCTCTGATTTTCTAAAGCTGTCAAAAAATGTGTTCCTTGCAATAACCTATTCTATCTTTTTCCTGCTTGTGATTGGTTCTGTGTTTTTTGACAGCTGGATGTAAAAATAAAAGTTACTCTAATAACCCTTCATAGTTAAAGGGAAGCAGACACGGCCATTTATAAGACAGTACAGCTGTCCCTGCTGTATCGGGCCTCATCACTTGGAAAGGGAGGCCCGCCACCTGTCAAGCAGGAGGACTGGCTGTACTACCGTATTGCCAACTCTTGTGGATCCCCCTGCAGCACTGCTAGCTTCTCTTCCTTTTATCCCTCCAGTTGCAATCCAGGGGAATCGGTATCTGTGTCCCCACTCATCTGCTATATGGGCCCTCCCTTATGTGCCTCCCTCCTTGCAGCACTGCTGGCTCCCTTTCCTCTTTGCTCCCACCAGCAGCTGCTGTGGGCATACAGGGAGATTGTTTCAGGATGGAGAGTAGGGGAAGGGGTCAGTAAATATGTCATATTTATCGGCCCCTTTCTTTCCTGAATGAACATAATGAGGGATCAGTTTTGATTACCCTTGTGCCCATTATTAACCGAAGCATAGTAAACAGTACTTACCATACTTCAGTTTGTGAATGAACTGCAAATCACAGAGTGCTTCCCATTCATTCACTGTCCAGTAGAGCTGAGGCTGTAGGGACTGGTTAATCTATGTCCTCAGTCCCTTCCTCTTTCTCAAATGTGAGACAGCAGGGGTCTGTTTAGACCCTCTGATATTTATCCAAAGGTCCCACAACAGGGCAGTTAAAAAAATAAAAACAAAGAAATAAAAATTTAAATTCTAAAAAAAGTAAAAAAATAATAAAATTATAAAAAAATCATTTGAAAAAAAAAGCACTCATTCAAATGTGCTTTGCTTTATGAAGAGCAGTCAGCATTTGGATCGCCCTTGAGAAAGCATTTTATAGGGAGTGGTGAGGCATATTGCCTCCGCACCGCCTGCTTTAACCCTGCACTAGTGCCCGCAACTGGGTGCTTTGTATGTGGTTGCGGGGTACTTGCAGAGCAGTGCTATTCACCTGAACGGGTCTTCAATGGGGGTATAATTTCTGTCATGGCTGTGAAGCATAGCATCATGTCTATGGCATTTTAACAAGAATACCATTTGATCTTTTCTGAGGATTTTGGGTGTTTTCTAAAAGCAGCCCTGGTGCAAATTCTTATTACAACACTGAGTTTACTCCAGTGTGTGATAATGACGGTGGACCCTCCTACTCCCCAGTAATTTTGAGAAAGCAGATTCTTGGTGGAAAATTGTCAGTCAAACAGCGTCTGCATCTAATCAGATGCGGGCACTGTTTGGATATTGTCAAGATACAGTAGTTCTAGCAAAAGATTTATCCATCTGTACTGTTTAGGGTTGAATGAAAACTGTTTATGTGTGGTCAACTTTACCATAAGATTTAAAAGGTCTGTGATGTGTAGTCACAGGTTGAAAAGCGCTCATGTACGCTGATCAGGGTGGATAAAAATCAATGATTTTTAAAAAAAAAAATTTTAAAAAATCTGATTTTTTTGATTTAAATTGGATTTTTTTGATTTAAATCGGATTTTTATAAAATAAAATGCTTTTTGAGGAAAATATGTTACCATCCAAAGGTTATTCCATCATGAAATAAAGATTAGTTTTTTTTAATTATGTAGAATAAGGCTGTATATGTTTAATTTTTTTGGTAAATAAATTCCATGAATCCATTCACAATGTCATGCTCTTCCAAGGTTTTTGTAAGAATATTGGGCAGTTTCTCTGCCTACAAGATATTATCACAGATGCTTGGTTTACGTTTGCAGTTCTCAAAACTGAATTTGACTCAGCGGAGATCACATGCCTCTTCTTCACAGCAAAAATGTTATAACATGAACAGAGTTAAGAAAAAGACCTTCATCCTAACTTCTACAAACCTATGAATACAGAATCAACCCCTTCAGTGCTACATTTCAAGAAGTTCAGTGAATAGAATAGAAACAATATTTTTCTGATTGTTTGGAGTGGAATAGATCTGCACAAGAAGAAAGTGAAACTAAGTGTGAGGAGGAAGGGGCTGACAGTCTAAGTTTCTTAAAATATATATTTTTTGTTTAGCCAAATTAGTTAACAAACATGGATGTTTAAGCAAATCACATATGCTGGAATGTTATTGTTTCAGTTGAATAAATCTATTTAAATTGTTATTATTAAGGTAATGATTATTTTTCTCCTTCCTAAGTACAACAGAAAAGTTGTCCAAATATGAATGATTAACCTATTAAACTGGGGATAAAAAAACTAATATGAAAAGTTGTTATTCTAAAAATCTTCATCTACTTGCATATTAAAGTTATACCAGCAAGAATTAGTCTGTGTAGAAAACTAGGATTTAAATCAAGCCTTACTGACTAGTGATTTAAATCGTGATTTAAATCAGTTTGATTTAAATCAAATCCACCCTGACGCTGATAATATGACAGATTAGGTTACTGTAAATGTTATGCGCTGAAAATAATTATGTACAGTATGTCATCCTATTTGTGTTGTGCATGATCAGAATTCTGCAAAACCTAATGAAATTGACATATGAGAAAAAAAGACTTTTATAGATATTTGTTCTGTTTGCTGTTTCCTTTATTGCCATGCTGTAGGGGGTAATTTTGTTTGTTTTGTTTACTATGCAACAAAAAGAAAATGACAAAAATTAATAAAAAAAAAATAAAAAAAGAGAATTGGAAAAAAAGTTTGCAAAAAGAAAGTTTGGATATATAAAAAACCTAATGCAGGCCCTATACATATGGATTTTCAGACGAGAATATTTGTATGAATATTCATATGAAAAATGTCGGTACATTTGAGTATACGAATATCGTTTGAAAATGAGGGGGGGGTTTAAAGAGTCTAGTCCCATCTTCATCAATCACCAGTGTTTTGGAAGGGGTACAAATTTTTTGGGGGGAACCCCTCTCAAACCAACCTACAATGTTTAGGGGCATGCAATCAGGCATCAACATAACAGGGAGGTTGCATATTTACTGCTTTCTTTGCTTTAGCGAAATAGGTCAGCCTACATGCCTGGTGTCCCAGACTGGTTAGCTGGCAAATAAATTTAATTTCAACCTAAAAGTGCTGACATTGTGTTAAAAAACAGGGGTTCAGCACTCTCCTTGTGTTGGCTAAAGAATTGGGGGTGAATTTTTGGCAAAACCTTTTAATAAATATTTTCCAAAGAGAACACTGAAATAAGATTTCCTCTCCAGATTTCCTGCGCCATTTCCCTCACCATAAAATATCAAACCATATGCTTCAAAAGGAAAAATCTTATTCCTCTATTTGCATTTTCAGTAATGGAGATTGCAACTGCCTTGTAATTGTAATGGAAGGTGGTTGTGATTTTGAACTCAATTGCTAGTTGGTGCCCAAGGATGCTTTTTTGTTATAGGCAGACTTTCGGAGTTTATTAATGTATCCAAGAACAAAACTGAGGAATGACAATTCCTATAAATGTTATTACATTCTGAATTCTGTGTGTTGTTGGTTTTTTATGAGTAATACAAGTTATTTTTCAGTCTTTTGGAGTCATAATAGATAAATACCTATTTGAAATTGCAAAAATGAACTTCCACTGTTTGCTAAAATGATTTCTGTTTCTGTGTTTCAGTGGCAGCGAATTACAGTAACATTGGTGGAAAAGGTTCAGATGATTGCTGTCATACTTGGATCTTTATTCTTAGTGTCTAGTGTGACATGGTTATTATGGTCCGCATTTAGCCCTTATGCAGTATGGCAAAGAAGAGACATCCTTTTCCAGATCTGCTATGGAATGTATGGTTTTATGGATCTAGTGTGTATAGGTAAGTTTTATCATTTATTTTTCAGAATGGTGTATTTAAAATAAAACTCTTAAATTTAAGGGTATGATGGCATGATGAAGCATAAGCCAGCCATTAGTTCTTAATCATGCTAAGACTGAACTGATGAGATTGATTACCTTTCTTCTTTAACAATCTGTCTTATTGTATATACAGTATCACACAGAAGTGAGTACACCCCTCACATTTATGTAAATATTTTTTATATATCTTTTCATGTGACAACACTGAAGAAATGACACTTTGCTACAATGTAAAGTAGTGATTGTACAGCTTGTATAACAGAGTAAATTTGCTGTCCCCTCAAAATAACTCAACACACAGCCATTAATGTATAAACCGCTGGCAACAAATGTGAGTACACCTCTAAGTGAAAATGTCCAAATTGGGCCCATTTAACCATTTTCCCTCCCCGGTGTCATGTGACTCGTTAGTGTTACAAGGTCTCAGGCGTGAATGGGGAGCAGGTGTGTTAAATTTGGTGTTATTGGCCTCACTCTCTCATAATGGTCACTGGAAGTTCAACATGGCACCTCACAGCAAAGAACTCTCTGAGGATCCGAAAAAAAAAGAATTGTTGCTCTACATAAAGATGGCCTAGGCTATAAGAAGATTGCCAAGACCCTGAAACTGAGCTGCAGCACGGTGGCCAAGAGCATACAGCAGTTTAACAGGACAGGTTACACTAAGAACAGGGCTCGCCATGGTTGACCAAAGTAGATGAGTGCACGTGCTCAGCGTCATATCCAGAGGTTGTCTTTGGGAAATAGACGTATGAGTGCTACCAGCATTGCTGCAGAGGTTGAAGGGGGGTGGAGGGTCAGCCTGTCAGTGCTCAGAACATACGCCGCACACTGCATCAAATTGGTCTACATGGCTGTCATCCCAGAAGGAGGGAACATGGATTACTGGAACCATGTCCTGTGGTTTGATGAGACCAAGATAAACTTATTTGGTTCAGATGGTGTCAAGCGTGTGTGGCGGCAACCAGGTGAGGAGTACAAAGACAAGTGTGTCTTGCCTACAGTCAAGCATCGTGGTGGGAGTGTCATGGTCTGGGGCTGCATGAGTGCTGTCGGCACTGGGGAGCTACAGTTCATTGAGGGAACCATGAATTCCAACATGTACTGTGACATACTGAAGCAGAGCATGATCCCCTGCCTTCGGAGACTGGGCTGCAGGGCAGTATTCCAACATGATAACGACCCCAAACACACCTCCAAGACAACCACTGCCTTGCTAAAGAATCTGAGTGCAAAGGTGATGGACTGGCCAAGCATGTCTCCAGACCTAAACCCTATTAAGCATCTGTGGGGCATCCTCAAATGGAAGGTGGAGGAGCGCAAGGTCTCTAACATCCACTCCAGTGGCAACCTGTGAAGCTCTTTTTAAACTCCATACCCAAGAGGGTTAAGGCAGTACTGGGAAAATAATGGTGGCCACACAAAATATTGACACTTTGGACCCAATTTGGACATTGTCACTTAGGGGTGTACTCACTTTTGTTGCCAGCGGTTTAGACATTATTGGCTGTGTGTTGAATTATTTTGAGGGGAAAGCAAATTTACACTGTTATACAAGCTGCACACTCATTACTTTACATTGTAGCAAAGTGTCATTTCTTCAGTGGTTGTCACATGAAAAGATATAATAAAATATTTACAAAAATGTGAGGGGTGTACTCACTTCTGTGAGATACTGTATACTCATATTTGACTAAAGCTGGCCATACATGGATCGAAATCAAAACCCTGCTGAACTGGCCAAATTTTTATTCATATATGGGCACCCTGGTTGTACACAAGTCAATCTATTGATTGACTTGTGTACAACCAGCCTGCCGGGTTTTTCCCAAATGATCAGTACCATCGGCTATAGCTGTCAGGGAAGGCTTCTAACTGGCAGAACTGGCAGCACTGCGGGAGGGTTTCCCCCATCAACACTGACTGTTGATCGACAGATTTACTTACCTTCCACCCATGGTGGAAAGAAAGACAATTTTATAATCTATGGCTTGTTTTAAATAAGGTGGTTACGTTTGCTCTCTCCTGGCAATAAAAATAGTCAGCAGTAAATATATGCACAGCAGTAGAAGTTCAGGATAACCCCAGATTTGTGCCAGTAATGTTCTGGCACAAAGTGAAGGTTTAGGGTTCAACTGCTTTATCAAGCATGAAATGAGAATACACAATATTATTTTTCACCAGCACACCATACTTGTTCCAGGTATATACTGTTATTGAGTCACCATAACTAATGTAGCTGAAAACCAAAGTTTAAGGGCCACATAGGACCCCTTTTGCCAAGGCAGCAAGTCCGTCTTAATGAAGTGGTTCTGTGTGACCTCAAAATGTTAATTTCCTACCACTACTACTGTCAGTTTTGGTGATTGGTAACCATCTCTTCCTGATACGATAATAGTGTGCTGGTGAAATATGTTTTTGATCCATATTAGAAGGGGATGTCCTTCTGAAGCTTCAGCATGCAACATTTTAATTACTAATTAGATGGCATGCAATATGTGAACTATCTGTGAGTATACACTAAAAATATATGTACATTTAGTAGGGATTGTTGAATAAATCTTGTTTGAGCTGGGAGCTGAGCTGTTTTCATCACTCTCCATAAAAACAAACAAAACATAAAGGAAAAGGTATACATAAAAGGAAAACAAAGGATAAAGGACACATAGCACAGATCATCAGAGGTCATTTCCTGAAGCACATATTGCACCTTTTTAAAAGTGGAATTTAAATTGGAAGTGTTCCCATGCCCAGACTATGATCAATATGGTGTTCACATATTTTGAACAAGCAGTGAAAGCAGTATAAAACAGGCCTCATTCACTTATTTACCTCTGTAGTTATAAGGACTGTGGAAAAATGTATCCCCAAATTTCATAACAGAGGCAGTAAAATCACACCTCTTTTTCTTTTATTTTTTATGGAAGCAGAATCATGGCAGCCTGGAAGCTTTCTAATGTAAACAAACAGGTGTTTCTGTTAAGCTGTTGGAAACCAACTGATGCCTGACCATAGAGTCAGTGTTTTTATCTTTGAAAATGTATTAACAGCTTCCTGACTGCCCTATAGCATAAATACTGCTACAGGGCGCACAGTACGCAAAATATATTCATGATGATTTTGAATTTTCGGGTAGGGGGCTCGCGCATGCGCGTCCTACCCAAACCACCATTCATGGCCACGGCTGGCAATCACCGGGTCCTGGACGATGTTTACCTGCCGGCGCCTGGTGATTACCGAGCATCTCCGATGGGGAAAGAGGACTGTTTTGTTTACTAACAGTTCTCCTCCCTGTCAGCTCAGGCACACTGCTTTGGATGGCTGTGCACAGCACAGCCATCCAAAGTAGTGTGCTTACAGTGAAGCACACTGGCACGGCCCCCTAGTAAAACACTTCCTGCACACCGTTAGCCCTTTGATCGCCGCTCATGTTAACCCCATTCTGCCCAGTTCCATTAGTACAGTGTCAGTTTTTTTTAACACTGATGACTGTATTGGTGTCACTGGGGATGCCAGTGACACCAAGTCAGTTCCTCCCAGTGTCAGAATGTCCGCCACAGTCCTGCTATAAGTCACTGATCGCTGCCATTACTAGTAAAAAAAAAAATTTGTAATTTGTAAACGCTATAACTTTCACGTAAACCAATTAATTTACAAGTATTGGAATTTTTTTTAGCAAAGACAGCAGAATACATTTTGGCCTAAATTTATGATGAAATTTGATTTTTTAAATTTTTTTACTGGACATGTTTAATAGCAAAAAGTTAAAATTATTGTTTTTTTTTTTCTCAAAATTATCGTTTTTTTTTTTTTATAGTGCAAAAAATTAAAAATGCACAGGTGATCAAATACCACTGAAAGAAAGCTCAATTAGTGGGAAAAAAGGACATAAATTTAATTTGGGTGCAGCGTTGCATGACCGCGCAATCGTCAGTTAATGTAACGCAGCGCCGTAACACAAAAAAATGGCCTGGTCAGGAAGGGGAGGGGGGGTAAAACCTCAGGAGGACAAGTGGTTATATAACATTACATGCAGATAGAGAGGTCAGGAATGGCTTGTTTTAAAGTCATTCTACAGCTTGTTAGGAATATGTAAATTATTTAATGTCTATTTCATGTCATAGGCTGGGCACATGTGCACCTAAAAGTTTGTGAACTCTCACACTGCCCTGAAGACTGCCCCGTCACCTTAGTGAAGGAATCTATCTATCTATCTATCTATCTATCTATCTTCTATCTATTCTATCTATCTATCTATCTATCTATCTATCTATCTATCTATCTATCTATCTATCTATCTATCTATCTATCTATCTATCTATCTATCTATCTATCTATCTATCTATCTATCTATGCTCTCTCGATAGCAGAATCTATCCTATCTTTCTATCTATCTATCTATCTATCTCTTCTCATTATCTATATTTACAATTATTTTTAATTTGATATCTCTTAAAATTTTCATTAAAAGTAAGTTATTTTATCATTTTCATAAGATATAAAGTAATTGTTGTAGATTACAAATATGCAAGAAAAACATACTTACAAATCACATTTGCTTCATTATAGAAACATATTAATTAGAGCAAAGCCTTGAAAGACAATGTGTGACATTTATTGACATTTTCACAGCAATGCGTACATCATTAAATCTCTTAGATTATCACTAGTAATTACAACGCTGGTCAGAATTCATGGGAAGGGCATGAGTTACTGCAGGCCATTTAAATATCATTTTACAGGCAATACAGAATGAGTCAATAAGCAGGCACAGCCAAAGGAAATAACAACAGCATGGCAAAAGAGGGGTCCCTCACATTGTGATAAACAGCAATGAATGACATTTTGAAAGTATCACGAATGCATCTATATAAATATGTTAATTAAAAAAAGTATACAGAAAGGCAAGTGAGTCATTTCAGGACAACATAATTCCTAGAGTATATTATAGTCCTGCAG